GAGAGAGAGAGAGAGAGAGAGAGAGAGAGAGAGAGAGAGAGAGAGAGAGAGAGAGAGAGAGAGACCAAAACAGAGAGACAGAGGGAGAGAGACAAGTAGATAGATAGAAAGGGAGAGAGACAAAGCATATCGAAGTCGTTATTTAAAAAAGCGAAGTGCATATTGCACTTCATCGGCGCCAATACAAATTAAGAGATGACGGAATATTATTCGTCCCAGCAAACGGCACCAGCCTACGAGAAACCCCGAAAAAAAAACAACAACACAGATGCCAATGTGACTGGAGGAGTCATCCACCCAATCGGACCACCACCCACTTCCCTGGCCAGCACGGCCAACAAGGAACCGCCAGGTCCGTGACGGGCAGGCGACAAGTACACCGACGACGGCATCGCTCTCACTTTCGCGTCGTGCGAACGATGGAAGTGACGAGGGTCACAACAGAGGCAGCACGGACTCTAACGCTCGCGAATGGCCTTCGCTATCTCCAGCAGAGCGTGACACATCAGTTTCTAACTTCGTCAGACGCTGCGTAGTGTTTTTTTTGCACTTCGACCTCCGCTTCCAACGCCTCGCACTGCCGGATTTGGATGGAGCACTGGCGCTTGTTGTTGCTCTCCATCATCGACGCCACCAGAGCCCCATGCTTCTCCATACATTCCGTCAGTGCTTCGAAAGTTTGCTGCCTCGTGCTCTTCCTCTTGCCGAAACCGGCAGAGCTTGCCATCGTCTGAGAAGAACCTCTCGTCGACCCGCCGTCGCTGTCGTCGTCGTCGTGCCCTGCAACAGCGTCCCCATCGCCCACAGATTCATGATCCGCAGAAGTGGCGGATGGCAGACGCACACCACCCGGAGAACCAGTGTCGGCGACGTTCTTCAGGTTTATGGTGTGGCTCTTGGCGGTCGACCCCAGGATCTCGTCGTAAACCGCACGATCCATGTTGAAATTGAATCCCTTCCACAACCTCTCTTTCATTTAGAATTGGAAGAAGTCATGTTTCCCGGACAGGCCTTGGAGGTGATGCACCTTCTTGAACTGCTGCATCAAATTGTCCCACTTCTTCCCGCACTGTTCTGCTTCTCTGTCGACGCCCACCTTCTTCAACCTCTGCTCCACATCCAACCACTTCCATTCTCGCGGCTTCATACAAGCGAACGCGGTACCCATGCCCTGCAGATGCGCGTCTTGGTCACGTTTAGCCCGGATGAGGGCTATCATGTCGTCCACGGACCAGAACTGACGACCTCCTTCTGCATCAGCGTCAGCTTCGGCATCGCTCCCCTTTCCCACCGCTTTTTTCCCCCGACGACCATTGAGAGCACACGCCCTCGTCTTCCCGCCCCTCCCTCCCATGCTGCTTTGCTTGAACGGCGATACGTGGCCTGCGTCCTCCTCCCCACCTTCGCCGTCGTCGTCGTTCCACTCTTGATCGTCCGCGCCCACCGCAGGTGCGTCGCCGTCGTTTTCGTGGTCCCCCACACGCAGTCGCTGCATCCCCCAAGTTATGGATTCCTCCCGCTGTGGATGAAGCGTCCGTCGCTGTTCTGCCCACACCTCCCTCCCTTCACGTGCATCACCAACATCGTTGATGACACAATCAGTCTCCCCGCATTCGCCTCGACGGCGGGCTGCAGTCCAACTGGCGGACAAGGGAGACGGAGACTGCATCCACAGGGGGCGAGTTGAGGCACCCCTCGACACAGACGGCGTCCGGTATTGCTGCCTCGGAGGATCCCTGTTGTTCCCCGACGCCTCCCAAACCGGCGGTGGAGACTTCAATGACTGCACAACAGCCGTCACCTGCCCGCCCTCGTCATCGGGATGGTTGTCGACGATCACCGTTCGCGAGGCGGCCGACGACCTCCCGCTACACAGTCCGAACGACAGATTGATGCTGCCATCGCCTTCGTCGCCACTCAGCCCCTGCCGGAGGACTTCGGTGTATGACTGCCCATTACCGTCGTCACGGTTTCCACAGAGCTCTGTAGTCGCCCACTCCTAGGTGGACCCACTTCCCAGCGGCACGGTCCGTGACCGTTTGTCCTCTGCCTCCTCGTCGAACATGTCCGGCAGAGGCTGCAAGTGCGGTGGCAGGTGCGCATACCCAGACCGCGCCGACGACCTTGAACTTCCCGACGGGCTATAGCCAGCCCGCTGGCCACCACCCTGATCCCCTGCAGACCTGCACATCCCATGCCGCCCCTCCATACTGACGTCCTTCTTCAAAGACCGTCTTCTGCGGCCACGTCGCGGAAGGATGCCGAGGATACACACGTGGAAGACAACTAAGAGGAGGAGCAAGAGGACGACCAGCACCAACAGCGGCCACCTCCGAAAGACATCGGCCATGAAACGCACGTGGACGACGCCAACAGCTAGAAGACAACCGTGGACGTCCAGGAAACGGCGAGGGTCAGTGGCGCAAACGGCCGATCGCAGCTACCGACAAAAGCAGGGTAACGTATTCCGTTGCGGAAGACACTCCGCAATCGGGAGAGCGGGGGCGGGCTGAAGTATTCGAATCTGCCGACCGTTGGGCGCTTTCCCGCTACTACCGAAGGGCAGCGACGCAAGGCAGCCCCTTTTCGACGTCGCGGAGGACGGCAGGCCGCCAAAGGGGACCGTTGGCGGAGTATTCCATGACGCCGACCGTTGCCAACCGGAGATGTCCGTCCACGGGCCGGCAGAACAGCAGTGGACCAGCCGCGGTGAAAATTGTCGTCGAGAGAGCTGCCGTCGACGCCCCGATTCTTCCGGATGCTCGACCTCCAAGGGACCTCGGGAGGTCCCTTGGGGAACGCATCGAAATGGCTGTAGCCCGAGGAATCCCCGAGGAATCCCCAAGGAAATGTTTTCACATTTTTTTTTCGTTTTCTTCCCCAAGGATAAGTGGAATGATGATTTCCTCGGGGATTTTACGTGCCCGAGGAGTGTCGAACGAGCCCCTTGGTTTGCATTGCTTCCCAGATTTTTTTATTTTTTTTTTAATTATAAGAAGAAGGCAACCAATTCAATTACCTGTTGAATCTGGACAGGACGACCTTTCAGGCCTTTTTAATTGTCATTATAGTATTAAGGGGAACCTGCTCAAGCCTCCAACGAGGGAACATGCGGCAGCTGCACCCACCAGCAGGTTCGATACCTGCTACAGCAGGTGGGCGATACCGGCCAGGGGTCCGCCAGTAGCATCAGGAACGAGCTTCTTCGATGGGCCAGTCACTGTGCCTCCCCTCCGGTCCCCTGCCCCTATGAACATCAGCAGTCTGTGCTCAATGCCACTTGGGGGGACCATGCGTGCAGTGTTTCTGCCTCATCTATAAAATAGCCACACCAGGGCATACTCACACTAGCACTTCCCTACATGCATCTGACTGCGATCACCGTCAGACGTGGATGAATCTGACGGCAATCAAGTCAACCTAGAAGAAAAAGTTGTACTGGGAGTATCCCCCAGCTCCAATTGTCTGCTGCCTCTAGCAGTTTTTCTATCACTTCTTCTGAGGACACTGGACCTGCTTTCCAGTCTGACACCCAAGATAGGATGCTGGACCTGTTTTTCAGCAAAGAAAGAAAAAAAAAAAAAAAAAAAAAAAAAAAAACACACTCATGGCAGAGTCACACTAGAACTTCCCTACATGTATCTGAGTGCAATCAGGGTCAGACGTGGATGAATCTGCATGCAATCACTTCGACAGCTTAGAAGGAAAAGTCAGTGGGAGTATCCCCCAGCTCGAAATGTGTGCTGCATCTGTAAAA